ACTGCCAGAGAGATTAAGGTCCAAACAGTGCTCATCTTTGCCACTGGTGCAAAAGTCTCATCGTAGTCGATGCCATATGTCTGACTATATCCTTTTGCCACCAGACGAGCTTTGTAGCGCTCAACCTGTCCATCTGGATTCTTCTTCACAGTGAAGACCCACTTGCATCCAACTGCTCTCTTCCCTTTTGGTAGTTTTACTAACTCCCAAGTGCGGTTCTTCTCAAGGGCCCTTAGCTCTTCGTGCATAGCAGCTTTCCATTTCTGGTCCTTTTTTGCAACCTGCCAATTGTTAGGTATAGTAACAGAGTTCAGTGATGCAATGAATGCTCCATGTGCAGGGTGGATGTTAGAATATGATACAAACTGAGCAAGATCCCAACCATATCTATCGGGAGGATTTCCCGCATTACTGCGAGTAGTCCTCTGTACAGTTATTGGTGTGGGATGAGTAGGAAGAGGAATGGAATCACCTTGAGAGCAATCTGGTAGTGGTGTAGGTGTCTCAGGAGTCGGGGCAGGCGTTGGCAAGGGACTTGGCACCAGTGGAACTGTAGGTACTGTTCCCGCAATTTGTTTCCCCTTCCTACTATAGGTAAGTAGTTCCCCCTGAGCCGTTGGTCTAACACCTCTTGTCTCATTCTCCTCTTCTTCTTCATTCTCTTGGTCCTCCTCAACCAAGTCTCCTTCCCAAGGAATCGTTACAGAAATTGATTTTTCTGATCTCTCACCATTCTCAGACATTGATTTCTCCATATTTACCAATCTCTCACCATTCTCCTCCTCTCGCCTCATACTTCCAGTATTAGGCGAGTTACCAACGGATGAAGTTACCTTCCGGGTGTAATATGGCTCGAGTTCTCGGAAGTGCACGTCCTTGCTCACAAACAACCTTTTCTCCACCGGGCTCCAGCAAACATATCCCTTCTCAGTAGCAGAATATCCCACAAAGATGCACTTCACAGCTCTAGGGGCAAGTTTCCCGACAGATGGCCTGTTGTCCTTCACAAAGCACACACAGCCAAATACTTTAAGTGGAAGAATCCCACCATTATCTCCCTTTAATGTCTCACACTGAGACTTCTAATCCAGCACTCTCGAGGGCATTCTGTTGATCAGCGCTGCTGCGGTCAACACTGGTTGCCCCCACAATATTTCCGGGACATTCATAGAGATCATCATGCTTCTAGCAACCTCTAAAAGATGTCTGTTCTTTCTTTCCGCTACCCCCATTCTGAGCTGGTGTGTATGGACAGGTCGTCTGGTGATGTATTCCCTGAGCTGACAAATATTCTTCAAACGCTCTGTTGGTATTCTTTGTCCCATTATCCGACCTCAATATCTTCACCACTGCTCCGTATTGAGTCTGAACATTCCTATGAAAGTTTTGGAAGCACCCAAACACTTCACTCTTTTTCTTCATCAAGTATAACCAAGTCACACGAGAGAAACAATCAATAAATGTAACAAAATACTTGTATCCATTCATAGAACTTGTGGAACAAGGCCCCCAAACATCTGAATGTACCAAGTCAAATACACGAGAACTTCTATGGCCTGAACTAATATAAGAGCTTCTAGTAAGCTTTCCAAACTCACATGCATCACACACAAGTTTCTGTTTATTTGCTTTCTCAAATAAAGAAGGATACAATCTACTTAAAACACCAAATGATGAGTGTCCCAAACGCTGGTGATGAAGCATTAACTCATTCTCAGTACTTATATTAGATCCTACTCCTGCTTCCTCTACTACTGACACCAATGCTGAATCCAGCCCTTCACGATCTAGATACCACAGTCCACTACGCCATGTGCCAGTCCCAAGTCTCCGTCCTGTCCCCTTCTCCTGAAAAATCACCTTGGGAATATCAAAAGAAACAATGCATTTTAGTTGGAGGATGATAGAACTAATGGACAAAAGATTGACTGGAAATGAAGGAGCATGCAAAACATTGGACAAAGTTACAGAACCAGTACAATCGACTGTACCCTTACCAACTACCGGCTGAAATGTACCATCAGCTGTTTGAATACTATCAGGTGATGCTAAGTGAGTATTTGAAGTTCACATCAACGTCAAATATCATTTTATACGCTCGCTAATTGAAGACGGAAAGTTGCATTTGATAAAGATTTTGGGGAGTCAAAATCCGGCGGACATGTTAACGAAGGCAGCCACCATTAAGAAACTGGAGTTGTGCGCAACTTCAGTTGGCATTCACGAGTAGAAGATGAAGGCGGAGCCACACTACGAGGATCGGCACAATCGCCGGGATATTATTGATTGAAGAAAGAATTTTTTCGGGGGAGAAGATACATGCAAAGAAGGGGAGAATTCGGGTGAAATCACTGCAGGTACTTTGGTCTCCAAGTGGGAGATTGTTAGTCTAAGGTGTAGACCCAAAGTCAAGATGAAAGCTGGAATCAAAACGACGAAGAAAACGAGCTGACAGATCCAGGTCGACCGCGAGAATCTGGCGGTCGACCGCGAACATGCACAGGAGCTCTGAAGGAGCTGGATCCGAAGGCGGTCGACCGTGCCAACCTTGTAATCGATTTAAGTCTCTGTCGATTGATACGGTCGACCACGACTGGTGTGCGGTCGACCGCGATACCTGTGCGGTCGACCGCCACGGTCGACCGCGACGCAGTTTGACAGTTTCCTAAACTGTTTTGGATTCTGTTTCTACCGGGACTCTATATATACCTTAAATGTTTTTAGGGTTTGTACAACACAAAAAAAAGAGCTTTTTGACTGCAGAAAGAGAGAGAATCTCAGAGAGATTAAACCCTAGTTTGAGAGCTTGTATTTCTTTTTCAATTAATAAAGAAATTATGTGGTGTGGCTCTCGAGGACGTAGGCACGTTGCCAAACCTCGTTAAATCTGTGTGTTCGTCTCCTTACGAGTAGAAGATGAAGGCGGAGCCACACTACGAGGATCGGCACAATCGCCGGGATATTATTGATTGAAGAAAGAATTTTTTCGGGGGAGAAGATACATGCAAAGAAGGGGAGAATTCGGGTGAAATCACTGCAGGTACTTTGGTCTCCAAGTGGGAGATTGTTAGTCTAAGGTGTAGACCCAAAGTCGAGATGAAAGCTGGAATCAAAACGACAAAGAAAACGAGCTGACAGATCCACGGTCGACCGCAAGAATCTGGCGGTCGACCGCGAACATGCACAGGAGCTCTGAAGGAGCTGGATCCGAAGGCGGTCGACCGTGCCAACCTTGTAATCGATTTAAGTCTCTGTCGATTGATACGGTCGACCACGACTGGTGTGCGGTCGACCGCCACGGTCGACCGCGACGTAGTTTGTCAGTTTCCTAAACTTTTTTGGATTCTCTTTCTACCGGGACTCTATATATACCTTAAATGTTTTTAGGGTTTGAACAACACGAAAAAAGTGAGTTTTTGACTGCAGAAAGAGAGAGTATCTCAGAGAGATTAAACCCTATTTTGAGAGCTTGTATTTCTTCTTCAATTAATAAAGAAATTGTGTGGTGTGGCTCCCGAGGACGTAGGCACGTTGCCGAACCTCGTTAAATCTGTGTGTTCGTCTCCTTTACTTTTTTTGCAATGTTAGATCTTTATTTGTTGTATTATTCCTACTTTCAACACAAGATCCGGAAGGGTAAGGGTTCGATTGATTGTTTCGAACCCCTAACAAGAGACGGTAGCAGAGTTGTTTATATTTGGAGGTTAAAGTACTTTGGAGGACGTAGAGGCCGCAACACAGAAAATCATGATCAAAGCCTAAAGAGTGCAATACAGTTAAGCAGATAATGCTCTCCTAAACATTCTCAAAACCTAGGTAGGCAGCCTAGGTACCATCTAGACGTTAGTTAGGCGGCCTAGGTATACCGCCTAGGCCTAGGCGTACACCTAAGCGGACTAGGCGGAGGCTTTTGTACTCCTAAGCGGATTAGGCGGAGGCTTTTTAAAGCAGTGTTCACAATATTGTCTGATTGTCTCTGAAACAAGCACTGGCCGTGTTACCACATTCTGTATAATTTTGACGTTTTATGCATCTCGTTTACTTTAGGATTAGAATTTATTGCCTTCGTATCAAACCACCCATCGGTGTTTTTTGCTGAAAGGCACCATGCCATTTTATATATTTTTTTTCTTGAAGCATGACCAGTTATTACATATAAATCAGTTTCTAATGATAAACACATTGAGCTAATAATTAGTTCAGAGATATGCGTGTTCGTCCTGCTGTGCAATGGCATTTTCAAGTGGGCGAATGTGTTTCTTTTGTCGAGGTGAAGTGTGTGAACTTCATGAATTTCTTGGCTGCATTATTCTGGCTATTTCCACACAGCATGATGAGATGGATGCCTGTCTCTTGAGTTCTACATTGGAGCTCCACAGAGATTATTAGAATATGGACAAGTTTAAACAAAGTGTAAATATTGAAGGGTAAGACTCGGTACTCAACAATTTTTTTGGCGCAAGGTGATCTTGGAACAAACATGCTCGTCCTAGTTGACGGGGGATATCCGGATATGTATCACCTTCCCAGCCCTTGTCTGAGTTGTATTGTGTTTTGCTAACAGCTGACCCGAACCACTGTTCACAATGGTTCCTGATTCACATGAAAGCACTTTCCAAGCTACCAATGCCTTTCTTTTCTCATGAACTTTTCCCCATTTCCAATCCTTCATATTTTCATGCTGATCTTGTGGATTGGAGATGAGATGGAGAACTCCTTTGGTTCTTTGGCTTAACTCAAGAGACCTAAATTTGGATTAATGTCAGCCTAAATTTGGATTATTGTGTCTGACATCATTAATTAGCTCAAGGCACGAGGTCTGTTTATTTTTTCCGGTTCTTAAATTTAATTTAACAGAATATGACCATATGTCGTTTCAGTTAGTTTGCAGGCTAAGAATTTTGTTGGAGACATCAGCAGCATTAATCTTTAGTTTCTATCTGGTAGGGACCTTTATAACATTGTTTTAACTAATTTGAAATTCCACTCGATTGCTTCTCCAGGATTTGCCTTGATTTACATGGAAGATGAACGCGATGCTGAAGATGCAATTAGGGGGCTTGATAGGATACAATTTGGTAGGCATGGGCGGCGGCTTCGTGTTGAGTGGACAAAGGTAGCTTCCACTCAATTAAATACTGAATTTTTCTTTCTTAAAATGTTACTTGATTTACAGTTATCTCCTTGCAGGAAGAACGTGGTGGTAGAATGTCTGGCGGTGAAAGAAGATCATCAGCTAATTCAAGGCCTTCAAAGACATTATTTGTCATTAATTTTGATCCAGTTAGTACAAGGATAAGGGACTTGGAAAGGCATTTTGAACCTTATGTAAAAGTTCTGAATGTCAGGATCAGAAGGAATTTTGCTTTCATCCAATTTGAATCACAAGATGATGCCACCAAAGCGTTGGAAGCTACTGACGTGAGGTACTTTGGTTTTCCATAATTAACTTATATTGTTTATTTACAGTCACAAATTTTGGTTTCTATTTGATATAATGAGTATTGTGGTGCAAGACAAAGGCTTGCTGCATGTTTTTTGTTTCCACTCTTGAGTACAGTGTTGGTTGCAATGACACTGACAGTGTTCTCTGATATTTTGGTATAAAAATTCTCTACTATTCCACGCATTATACTTCTTCTTAGCATCCATCTTCTCAGGGATCCCTTGAATTTTAGGGACATGGCACAAATAATTGTCCATGTTATACTCCACCCGCATGAGACAAATTCACAATAGAAGTGTCCAAGTTAGGACTTCCATAAGGACAAGAGTCAGCACACTAAATTATGTAGGCTATTTTGATAGGGATAAGTAGTTAGGATACTTCAGTTAGGATTTTATTTTATCCTTTTCCCTTTTTATTTGCAAGTGTGGTGGCTGCAGTAACTTTGTAAATAAGCTTGCAACTTTCTTTTCAAAGACAGATGATGAAAATAATTAGTTATGTTTTGCGGAGAGCTGTCTAGGTGTGAGGTCCAACATTTGTCTCCAATCTGTTCTTCACAAACTCTAGATCCAAGTTCACTCCCTCCACAAATATCAACCCTCCATCTCAGAGGGGGATTTTATTTTTAAAAAACCGTATCCTAAATTTCAGTCGCCACCGTTTTTTGCCGGTTTTCCCTGACATCATCGCTGACTTCAGCCTCCCCCAATTTCACTATCTCCTTCCCCAGTCATTCAAACAGTGCAGCCCCTTAGTCTTCTCCGATCAAGGACTTCATTGTAGTAGCCTAAATAATTAGTGCCTTAAAACTTGATTAATGGAGAATTTTTTTAAACTACAGATTAGGGAACTAATTAAGGGATTTTTGGGATTTCATCTCTAACCCTTGATTTTCTGCCACGTTCGTGTTTAGTGGCTATAATCCATTCGACGAATTGGTCGGCACCTCCTTAACGGAGGATTAAAACAGGGAAATCAAAGAAAACCAACAGAAAAAAAACAACGAAAAAAAATAATAATGAAAAATATCATCTCATCTCCCTCTCAGAACTAGATTAAGATTGTGATAAGAAATAGAAGAAGAGAAGAAGAGGAACGAGACAGTGAAAAGGGAAAGGAAAATAGAGGATTTCACCCAAAATTCAAGTTAACCCAAAGGTATAAACCCATTCCTTTGTTGATTTCTTGATTTCATTTATTGATTTCTAAAAAAAATGAGATAGAACTTACCTGACCACCGACGAGGATAGTCGGCGACTCCACTTGCCGAAGGAGGGGGTTCGCCTCGGGTGGCCGCTCCGGCGGCGGAACTTTGAGGCAGCCGCGCAAGTCACGGGGGAGAGAGAGAGAGAGTTAGAGGAGAGAGAGAGAGAGAGAGAGAGAGAGAGAGAGAGAGAGAGAGAGAAGGAAACCGAAGGAAAAAAACCGAAAAAGAAAAAGAGAGTAAAATGAAGAATCGGAAATCTGGAAGATTTGATAAGGGGAGAGGGATAATTTTTAGGGAAAATCTTCTTTTAACCCAAAGTTTTACTCCAACTTATTTTTAAACCCACCTTCTTTCATTATGATCCATACACCCAAAATACAACACCCACTTATTTATAAACCCAAAGTATCACTTATTTATAAACCCAAAGTATCAAATACACCATATTTCTAGTGCTCCTCCCACTCAAAAAAACCCTAAAACACTCAAAAACACTCGACTACTGACGCATCGTGTTTATTGGCCGATTATCCACCGCGTCGGGCCGTCCTCGTTGAATTTCGAAGCTTCAGGCAAAGTATAGCACTTTACGGGAAAGTATAACACCTTATGGGCAAAGTATAGCACCTTATGATAAAGTATAGCACCTTATGGGCAAAGTATAGCACCTTAAGGTCAAAGTATAGCACCTTATGCTCTCTAAAAATTCTGCACATCAAGTTGTCGAGAACCATTTTAGTTTTTTTCCCCGCAACGAAAACATTCGACGATCGACGCATCGTATTTATTGGCCAATCATCTACCGCGTCGGGCGGGCCTCGCTGAATTTCGAAGCTTCAGGCAAAGTATAGCACTTTACGGGAAAGTATAGCACTTTATGACCAAAGTATAGCACCTTATGACAAAGTATAGCACCTTATGGGTAAAGTATAACACCTTATGCACAAAGTATAGCACCTTATGCTCTCTGGAAATTCTGCAGCTTTGAAATTTAGCGAGGACCGCCTGAGAGATAAGGTGCTATACTTTGGGTATAAGGTGCTATACTTTGCCTATAAGGTGCTATATTTTGCCATAAGTTTGGCCGTAAGGTGCTATACTTTCCCGTAAAGTGCTATACTTTGCCTGAAGCTTCGAAATTCAGCGAGGACCGCCCGACGCGGTAGATGATTGGCCAATAAATACGATGCGTCGATCGTCGAATGTTTTCGTTGCGGGGAAAAAAACTAAAATGGTTCTCGACAACTTGATGTGCAAAATTTTTAGAGAGCATAAGGTGCTATACTTTGACCTTAAGGTGCTATATTTTGCCCATAAGGTACTATACTTTGCCATAAGGTGCTATACTTTGGGCATAAGGTGCTATACTTTCCCGTAAAGTGCTATACTTTGCCTGAAGCTTCGAAATTCAACGAGGACAGCCCGACACGATGGATAATCCGCCAATAAACACGATGCGTCAGTAGTCGAGTGTTTTTGAGTGTTTTAGGGTTTTTTTGAGTGGGAGGAGCACCAGAAATATGGTGTATTTGATACTTTGGGTTTATAAATAAGTGATACTTTGGGTTTATAAATAAGTGGGTATTGTATTTTGGGTGTATGGATCATAATGAAAGAAGATGGGTTTAAAAATAAGTTGAAGTAAAACTTTGGGTTAAAAAGAGATTTTCCCTAATTTTTAAGTCACCCTTGCATTTCAAAATAATTTCATATAAGCCCATCTAGCTCATTTAATACAAGTCAAGGCTAGGAAAAATTTCCTTAAGCCCCTGAACCATGTTTAAATTTAAAAACAGACCTTAGTAATATAAGTTATGGTTGAAAGAGGCTTGGAAAATATATGTTAGGCCCCTGTCATTTACTCAATTTGCAAATAAGTCCAATCTGAGGAATAAACAATAACTTTTAGACTTGATAAAATTTCTATAACCTCATGTATTATCATAAATTACAAAAAAAAAAATCCAAATGCTAGTATATGAGAGTTATAAAATTTTGATAAATTGCTAAGGTTAGCAATAAGCTCTTATGTACTATAGAATTTAATTATTATTGATTATGCTTGAATTTATTAGACTCTAGATTATGAATTGATTTACCTTATAATATATGTTTGTCCTGAAGCAATAATTAGCCATATATCTTATAATATAGGATCTGGTTGATATTCATGAAGATAATATTTTGGGGAAGTCGTGTTCGCTTAAGGTGAGTTCATTTCTCACTAGTATTTTATAATATGAAATTGCATGAATATTATATTTGATTTATCTTGTAATCGAAAAATAATATATCATTTTTATGTATATAAAGATTTGATCTACCTTTGTTGTGGCATAAACCATAAATATGATATCGTTTTGTACAAGATATGAAAAAAAAATCAATCTGATTTTATATGAACTATGAAGAGCGAATTTGGCTCTCATGCAATTTTAACTAATTGTAGACATTGTTTTATCTGAATTTTTTTTTTGATGAAGTAATTGGAATGTATTTTCAACAGCTCAACGGATTCAAAGATTTTCCGTGACTTAGTATCTAATAAAAGAAAAAAATAAATATCCGTAAACTATTTAACTGATATACGGAGCTTTACCTGGTCCACTTCATTTGAAAATATCTATAAATTCTGATATGCAAAGTATTACTCATTTGACATGTGATTTCGATGTTTTCAAACCCTCAAATAGTCCACTATGGATTGTTTCTGCCTGCCATATGGTGAATACACCTTTATTTGGCCCCTCTGTATTGGCCCTTCTGTATTGACAAAATTTGTTCTGGCCCCTTTGTATTTGGCCAGTAACCCATGGCAGTATTAGGTACATTCGATACTCAGGAATTATCAGTCATGTAATACGTTTTATGCATTCCCTTCCTACTGGGCTATAATTCGTAGCCTTAGTGTGACCTATGGGGTGATTTTTACATTCATGAATAACTCATCGAGTATTATGATTCTGATAATTGACTGTGAAATTGAGAAAATAATAATTCTCTGGTTTTGTATAAATTAGTAGTTCTTTTTCGTCTTAATGTTTACCTTGATTCAAAAAGGGTTTGATTTCAAGAAACTTCAAAGTATATTCAGTTGCACATAAGAAAGAAAATATAATTGTTGTATTCTTTCTTAAAGATGACAATATTATGATATTTGGATCGTATTTTTGCTCTCTTTGAATTTCTCATGCAAAACTTGTAATTCGTTATTTCTGAGAATTATTCTTATTACTATTTTGTTAGTTATGTAGGAACTCTAGTGGAAAATGTTCTCACTAAGCGCTAGCTCACCCTGTTGTTTTTATTTTTTTCAGATCTAGCATAGCTTCATACTAGCCAAACTTTTGATTTGGGTTTTTGGCTGAGAGACGTTATATGGAGAGCCTCTTCTTTTTGATGTTATCTTCAGTACCATTTGTTTTGTTTTGTAAAAATGTTTATAACGGTGAGTTTGTGGGCTGTAAGTACTGATTATATACATATATAGTTTCTCTGACTTCTATCATCAGCAGCTTTATGAATATTTTATGATAAACTATATGATATGAAGTGTCAGGCTTGATCGTGCATAAGAATTGTCTAGTGCACGGATCGTTGCTGTCGTGCACCCCGCATTTTAGAATTTCCGCTACAATTTCAGGGCGTGATAGTAAGATGGTATCAGAGCTTAAGTTTCAACGTTAGAAACCTTGTACGGCACGTTATCATAGTGTATATGCGCTAGATGAGTGTTAGCGTATGGATCAACTATGTGATATATATGCATG